TGTTTTAAAGAAAATAGAACACATAAACATTGGTTTATTTACGTCTGGATTAACAATGATTTAGTTTTGCAGGCACAGTTAGATGAAGCCTAACATTTGTTTAGGAAATTGTGCATTTCCCTACGTAATTTCCTCCGGGGCTTGTTAGAAATCAAAACGACTTTTCCCTATAATCAGTAATAAAATAATTCCTTGTCACTTTGTTTTCCTCCAGAATTGCATTTCTAAAATACATCTATTCAAAGTATTTTGGTGATGAAATGAAACCGCATTTTTCAAAATCAATACACAAATTAGAATTTACGAACATCTACGTGCATATCCAATAGCCTACTTACAGTAGACTCTAATGGAACAGTAGAAACAAAACTTTCCAGCAACACCCACCATGTCTAAACCCATGTTTTGTACCATAACAGGGCTTAGGCCATTGAAAGTTCTTGCTAAAATCATTAACGAGTCAATTGAGTTCAATAACAGATCCAGGAGGGAGCAAAGATATGCACTGGGATGGACTGGAGCTGGTATTTACCAGAACTATATATTGTCTTTCCGAAGAAAACAGAATACCAGAACGTTAGCAGCAATGGTCTTCACTCACCCTGGTTTTCTGTCACTATTTTGTTGAGTGTTTTTTAATATTTTTGATCTCCTTTTTTTTCAGGAGAGAGGAAAGGTTGGGTCTTTAGGGAAAAGATTGAAAACGTTAAAAAAATGTCAGTGTCAAAATGTGGGGAAAAAAACTGCAGATACAGTATAAGTGCAGTTTGCTACTGTTGTCTAAAAAAAAACTATTTGAAATCCAGGCATGTATTAAGGAGCATGAAAGAGATGCTGTAGAACACACCTGCTGGGCTGTCAAATCCTGGACTTCGGACACTATAGGCTGTGTCTGCTGTCTTCTGACCTCTGTGTCTGCTGTCAACCTCTTATCAAGAAAAAGTGTCAGAAACAGAGCTCTGTAAAACTTGTTGATTTGTAGTCAAGGTCACAATTTCTTTCTGCCCTTGCTGTCAGACCCTTCCTCCCTCCTTTTTGACTCTGCCTCTCTCTCTCTCCTTCCCCATTTCACTGTCTTCCCACGTGTATTTCCATGGAGGTGTAATCCTAGCAGACACATGCTGCATATCTCTGCTGTACTGTTTTAATTACCATCTTTGTGCTACTGTACAATAGAAATTTAATTAGCAAACAGTTGAAAGTTGAACACTGTGGATGAGGTTAATAATGTAAGGCCATCTGTACTGAAATTAGCCACTAATGCGGTTAAAATGAAACTGGGCAGGGGGAAGAGACATTTAGGAGATAAGGAAAAAAATCAATATGAAAATGGGAAATTTGAAGCATCTCTCCTATAAAGAAGATAACTATCATGGGACAAAGGTAGACAATTCTTTACTAAATTTGGAGGCTTGTAAATAAAGCTCTGCGGCATCATCTCTTTGAAGCTGTCCTGCTATTTTGAATGAATACTGTATTGGTACAATAAATTGAATAAGAATAGCTGACTATAAAAAATATATTTTCGCCAAGGTTTATCATCTCCATTGTGTTTAGGATAGAGGGCATGATAAGCCCATTGAGAAGCTATAGACCTTGACTTTAAAAGAACCATGTTTAATTAGATTAAAAAAGGTCTCTTTGTCCATATAAGATAACCATGGTACCACTGTTGAAAACTTTGGATAACCTTGAATAAAACAGATGAGAAGCGTGTAGCTACAATTCCCCCATGTTTAAAGGTCATACCGTGTCCTTTACCCATTTTCTTCAACATCTGATACTCATTTCTAACATTTTTCTTTAAAAAAAAACAATAAAATATTATCATCCTTGGCCATCAGACATTCAAGTTTAGCAGTTCAAAGTCATCTTTCAGGTAAAATCAAACTGACAATTCTTGAGTCAAAAGCAGTGTTCTATAAAACCAGGACTCCTAAGACCTGCTTATTTTGAACTCAGTATTCAAAATCCTCAAAGGCATTGACAAAGTCAATCCAAAGGGCTTCTTCAAAATGAACCAGAGGACATAAGTGGAAACTACAGTATGTGGAAATGCATTTAAAACTGAGAATAGGAGGCTATTGTGGGAGTATGGAACAAGCTACCTAGCTATGTAGTTGAAGCTGTTACTTTGGCGTCCTTCAAGAAATGGCTGGACGAGATTTTTATTTGAATAAGCTACTAACTGCCAAATAGGCCAGATGGGCTGATTGGCTTTCGTCATCTTTCTTATGGTCTTATGTTCTAAGAGATAATTGGTAGGATTCTTATGTTTGCATACTGACTACAGAGTAATACGTTTCTTGCAGGTGTGTATTCTTTAAATCATCTGTAAATGTTTTATGACAGTTCACATAATTGTTTTTACATAATAAGCCTATTAATTGGACATATGGGTTTAGAAAACACATTATTCTTGTAAAATGTAGCTGGCATAAATTAGTTGTTTCAACCCAAAAAAAGCTTAATTACCACTTCCTCGGATGAATGAGCCTTCAATAAATGTAGAAGTGTCACTGACAAACAACGCTTAAGAAAATATTTTAGTGCCCAGAGTACATGAGTAAATTGCTTAGTTTCAGCTAAGGACTGCAAATGCAGTACTTTATGTAACAAATCTGTACAGAGAGGGATATGGAAAAACCTAACATTATATACATAAAAGAAAAAAGGGATTTAAGTGAGTAAGATATTACATGAATAACTTTTGAAATGTATTGTAAATCTGTTTTTGCAAACCACAAAGCCCCCTCCAGGGTGCCAGGCCTAGAGACTTGTGTTAGCTTTAGCATGCTTGCTAGGGTAACAGGTATCAATGGAGCAAAGCATTGTTTTCTGCTGCACACACCAGCTGTGCTTAAGGGCTGCATGGTTGTTCTTTTTTGTTCAGCCTGCACTCTCAGATTCTCAGCCAGTTGCATAATTGAACCGATTTGCTATTTTGTTTTACCAGCTTTTTAGAAGCTGATGATTTAAGGAACCCTACCACATGCGCAGGCCTGAAGGTGTCAAGGACATGTGCTGTGTGTTTGCAGTGTACCTGCCATGTAGCATCACTCTGGAGAGCCCTAAGGGGAGAGGACTGGAGAAGATCAGGCTCTCCAGAGACAGATGGCTGTGTCAGTCACTGCTCTGGGTGCCTCTTGCTCTGGTGCTCCAAAGACGCACATCCCCTCCCCAAGGAGCTGTTAAGAGTATGTTAGACTTTCACAGCACCTTTTATTTCTATCTGTCTTAATCTCATCTCATTAGCAAAATCTCCTGTTCTTCAGTTCCATTTTTCTGTTTGAAAATTATTATACTTCTATGCTTCAGAAGAAAAAGAAAATCAATTGAGTATCTTTGATGTGTAATTTTAAGTGTTATTACTACTGATTCTAAGTGGAGCTATAATGGTCAATGCAATAGGGTCTGTTGAGTGGTGGTATTGATAGTAATATATGGTGTCCTGGCCTATATTATGTCAATAATGAGGAAGATTACACACTGTAAATTATAGTGTCCCTGTTATTTATGGGGGAAAAAGGACCGCAAAAAAGGAGATGTCACAAAAAGGATGTATTTTTTACACAACTCTCTGTCTCTTGCTTAAAAGGCAGAACTCAGGTAATGGATGATGACTGTTCAGCAATAACAAGGGAAGTTCTGCAGTGCTTACAGTGTTAGTGCAAGAAAAGGGGGACTTGGGATAAGATGTGAAAAAGAAGTACAGGATATCCCATATCTCCTCCCCTCAAAAACCAAACTAAAAAAAGGATATTTTCAGATATTTAAAATTTGATAAATATTGAGCAAATAACAGCATTCTGTGTTATTTAAATGCCAATCCTGTGTGTTACCTGCATGAAGTGTTTTCCTGCATCATTTTATTTTTGTCACATTGCTAAATCAATAGAAAATTAAGGCTTCATGTTAATGGATGGGTCTAAATTTGCCACTCTGACAATATAAGAAGCTACTTGGTTGCTAGTGATTTTAATAATCCAAGAACCTATGAAGTATTTTATTCTTAAAGGATTGCATCAAATCCTCTTTTACAACATGTCCAGGGAATTGAAGCCAGGCTCCACTATTATTGATTTAAAGAAGAGTCTTCTTTTTTCAGTTCTGGTTAATTTAAATCTGTGTCCCAGGGTTCATGTGTTGTTATTGGTGTCTCTGAATTGATATGTCTGATTCTTTTTTGGATTTGTAATACCTGAATCACGTCTCCATTTCATTTTCTGTTCATAACTTAGTAGGCAACTTGGCATGATATGCAACATGAGTCTAAGAGCCTTCTTTTCATCTCTCTTATCAGGATGACTCAATGGGCTCCCAACAAATCATTGTTTTGTTCTGATGTCATTTATACAATTCGAAAGCGTTCATGATGTTTTCATGAAGCATTTTTTCTTTAATGAACTAACTTTTTATGTACCTTCATGCAATAATTGTTTAGTGTAGTCTAAAACTTTTATAAAAAAGATACAGGGCATATAACCCTGAAATATAACAGTTATAAAGCAAAACCAATTAATAATAAAAAAATTAGAAAAACAATTGCTGATATGAATAGGATTACTGTGAATGGTGAAATTGTACAGTAGGTCTTTGTGAACTGCAGCACAATAAATATTAGCACCCTCATGTGGACATTTGTCTTTACTGCAGGCTGGACTCCACCCTGAAATCCATTAATAAACTTGTACTGTATATAACTGTTTTCCCAATTAAAGACACGGCCGATGAAATATTTATCAAATTAAGTTGCTTTTGATTTCCTGACCATTATAAAGTTAAAAAAAGTTACTGTATAATAGAAACGTGTTACCTGTATTACTAACAGATAGAACAGATGTTTTTTTTTAATCCTGGTAAAAAGTAAATGTTATCTTATAGTACTGTAAAAGTGAAAGAAGGTAAATCACAAAACAAAAAAGTTACTTTCTAATTCCATTGGCAAATTACCAATCGATTTTTAACATATTACCAAATTAATATTTAAAAGGAAACAGTTACATTTTCCATTTTATTACATATTTCAAATCATTACAAATTACATAGGTTATAAAATGATATGGGTGCCAAAACACCTTATATACCTCAATTCTATTAATATAATCATGATCCTATTCTACTCTACTAAGTATTGTTGTACATAACCCTCAAGAAAGTCTGCTTTAAAGCATATCTGCAAGGGAATGCCCATGACTAAAGTTTATGGATGAATTAGGTCACCTGTCAAATTTCAGCTTGGTATTTCTACCCAGGTATATGGACAAAAAGTCGGGGAAATAACCTTTTACTTTTGCTGCTTCTTTTCTAAGTTGCATTACAAAGGACTGCAATTTGTTCTCATTGAGGTACTTTTACCAAACGAAGTTTGGTGGGTCTGTCACCGATGTCACCTGATTGGCCCCATCTTCTCTGCTTATTCTGAGATTAATGACGAGAGCCTGCCAGGCTTATTCCTTGCACACACCTCCCTTGCTGGATGCTAGAAATCTGAAAAGAGAATACAGGGACGCCGCTATTTTGGGATCATTAGGTTCAGTGTAATTTTACCATAGTTTCCCCCACGAGGGCTCGTATGAGGAATGTCAGTAGCACAATTAAGTTATAGGCGCGATCCTAATGCAGTTTCCCCTGCAGTCAGGGACCAATTGTGAAATAAACTCTCTTTGAACTGCCCAGCAATTATAAATCTGCAGAGCCCATCGTCCTTCTTTATGCCCTGTGTCAAAAATCTAGGCTATGTTCTTTTCTGCAAAAACCCCTTCAGAAAAGCACAATAATAAAGGCAAGAATTGTAGCACAGGGACAGTTCACAGGGACTCCAAACGTTATTGATCTCTACTGCTTCTTAAAGCTGGGACAGAAACCTAGTGGTTTCCGAACACGAAGACTAAAACAGAAGTTGATTAGCTGCAACTGTTTAGCTATATTTAAACAGTCTGATGTGGAATATAGATTTTTAATTCCTCAAACCCTGTTAAGCACTTTCAAACACATTACTGCTACCATGTATCCGGGGCTGATCACCCACGGTTACTCTACTTTCAATCCAGATCGATTATCCAGGACATGATGATCAAAACATTCATTTTCAACAGCCTCAAACTGGTTATTCACCACCTTGGACATTTAGCTGCTAATCCTGGAAATCGTGGACTCCCAACTGAAGCACAAAACGTAAAATATCCTGCCCAGGGAGCAAAATTCCCAGTATCAAAGAAATCAATAGGTTCGTTGCCAAACTGCAAAAAATGAAAATTACCTGCCAGAAAATAGTTTTACTGTTTCATGAAACTCCTTCTCATTCAAGAATATTTCTCTATGTCTGTATTTGTTTCTGTCAGATCCTTAATGTAATCACCTCCGCTCATCATCTTCACAGCTGTAAGTGGCATACCCTTGTGCCAGATTCAAGGAAATAAATTCCCTGGCATGAAATTAAAATTTAATTACCCCAAGGCCCTTCCCTTTCTTACTTCCCTCCCCACGTTTAATTCACTACAATCAACTAATTAATTAGGACCATCAGCTAAACCACCTGAAATTCAAAGAAAATGTTCTACCCAAGGGCCATGGTTCAGAGGTAGAGCTACAAAATTGGTGAAAATCAATGTAATTGTAATTATTTGGTTCCTTTTTCTGACTCAAATTGCTCTGTGTTAGTGCCAAGATAACGCTTAGAGCAAGAAAAACAAGGAAAAAAGTAATGTAGCACTTGAGAAAGTATGTGAAGAGAAAAAATCAGCTAGGTGGAACGCAAGGCTTCACACAGCACAATTATTGAACTTGTTTAGGTCCATTGATTTTCTCAACTTATTCCTAATTAAATATATTGCATATATTGTTTCTCGTAATGCTTTACTTGAATGTGGCTACATAACTGTCATACCTCCTTCATAAACACTATAAAATGCAATCTAACAACATTCATAACTCTGTTCATAAAACTATTCATGTGCAATTGACATTACAGTTAGACGATTATTCATATTTGAACAAGACATCGCTTCAGTCAGCAGCTAAAAACAGAATTCCAGGTAGAGAAAAGTCAAGTGGAAATAAAAGACACCATTAAAGACTTCAGAGCTGACAAGGGCTTTGTGTATATGCAGTTCAGCAACAGTGGTCCTGATGTGTTTATCCATCCATCTATTTTCTAACCTCTTCTTCCAATTCCGGGTCACGGGGGATACAGAGGCTATCCTGGCAAGCAATGGCAGAGCAGACCTCGCAGGGCCACCTTTCCCAGAAGCCCGTTAACCTACCAGTCGATAGCACCCTGAACTCAAGGCCCCAGAGCTGCAAGGGAGCAATGCTAATCACTAAGTCACTCATAGTGTGTCTGCTGCATGGTTTTATGCATGTTGATTTATTGTGCTGTGAGGTGATTATGCAGGAGTAATGATACTGTTAAGTAACACTAAAGACATGGAGAAAAAAAAAGAGAAAAAGAACTGAAACAAAAATGCATCTGTAATACATTAAGATGCAATAGTGATGACACAGTGTCAATGTAGAGCTATTAATTTGTAGAGCTGTCAAGTGCTGTTATCTTTATTTCACTGTGTGCATCAAGAGTGCACAGATATATTTTACAGGTAGCACTTTAATCTTCTGTTAAGATATCCACATCATAAACCTAAAATAAATAACCTTAGTGTTAATGGTGCAGTGAATGTATGACACATGAAAATGAATGCCATATAATTTTTAATTAAGGATCATATCGAATGAATGAACAAGGTGACAACTAATTATTATATGATGATATATCTGTAAGGTAATACAGTATATCCAACCTGCATATTTCAGTGAAAGGCATTATTTTTACAGATGTACACGTTAATTTAAAACTATTAGATTATCTTTGAAATCAGCTAAGACATTTTTTAAGTGTAGCAGTTCAAAGTAAACAAAACAAAGCAAAAGAAAACCATCATTAATTGCATGAAAAGTCAATTAATTATAATTAACGCGCTCCCTTATAATCCCTCATGCATTTCACTTCCTTATCTATGCTTTCCGTTGATATTTGTTTAAACTTTATATATGTTTAAATTTAGATTACAAATGTTTATTATTATTATTATTATTATTATTATTATTAACCCAGTAGCAGACCTGGGGTTGTATCTTCGTGGAGTTTGTACAGTATGTCTCCTGTGTTCATGTGGGTTTCCTCTTCGTAAAGGTCTGCAAAATATCGGGTTTCGATTCGGTTTTTCACGTACATCTTCGGGCTCGGATGTGTTTTCTAATAGGTGAATATAAATGATGTTTTAAATGTACTTTTAATAGAAAAAGTTATTTCATAACTCATTTTGCGCGCTCGCTCTCTCGTATGTGTGTAACAGAGCCTACCCAGCTCACTTCGCAATGGATGAAATAAAACGATAACTCACAAAGGGGGAACTACTCAAATGCCAAAATGAGTCGGGGACGGGTTCGTTATGGAAACATTATGACCTAAATACAATTTTTTTCCTCAGCGCACGGCATTTTCTATCAACTCAAGCGCATAGCAACCGAGCAGGCACTGTAAAACCGCGTCTGTGAGAACCCGTCTCTGTGTGTGCTTGTGTCCACTCGTTCCGAGAAGAAAAGAGTGACCTATATCGGGTTATAAATTTGGCAGTACCATTCGGGCTCGATCGGGTCTGGTCTCGGGTACGGGCTTCAATTTCATGCCCGTGCAGGCCTCTACCTCTGGGTACTCCGTCTTCCTTCCACAGCTCAGAGGCATTCTGGAAGGTTATTTGAATTCTGTAAAAAAATGACTATGACAGAGGGATCTCTTGTCACTGTCCGAGGACAGTACAGTACACAACACACATTATCTTACTTAAATTACACACGTTCATACATCCATTTTCCTGTTAGCTAGCTAACCCGCGAGGGTGCACACTCGGGGCCCGGCTAGCAGTTTCCCACTTCATACACGCAAAACATAACCATATTTTACTTCGGAATCGGTTCTGGTTATTCGTAGAGAATCAAACACGCACACTCAAGGATAACGATATGTTTTCTGTTTATTTGTACCTATCTGTGTGGGAGAGAGCGCTCTGTTTATCTTCTGTCTTCCGTGATGAGGTCACTGTGCGTCCTGGTCCAGGGCAGACTGACTTCCGGTTATGGTGGCCTCCTGGGTCCAAACCCGAACCCCCTTGTCAGTTTCGCTTTGTACGTCAACGCATGCGCACATCTTCCGGTATAAGAAATACCATTTTGTACAGATGCAGTTACATTGAGTAAAATGTTTTGTTCATGATTCGTTGTTTTATTTTTACATTCTGTACAGTCCATTGTTTAAAAATTATGAACGGGTTGTTATGCGGGCGAAATGATTAGTTTCATCATACGATGATAAGTTTAATTTTAATGTGAGAATGGTACGGTCCGAGGGGGGCAGGGCTTCGTGCCTATTTAGGGGGCTCCTGCGACAGCCCGGAAGTTAACTGATAAGCTCTAAGTGCAGTAGGACGTCTGGCTTGTAGCTCTCGGAGGAATGGTTTGTTTTTTTGTATTTTTGTTTTATTGTTTTTTTTTTTGTGGGGTGCACTGGCCAAATAAACCACCACTTTTGCACTGAAGTGTTGTTGCAGCTGGGCTATCATTCTATTTCAAAAAAAGAACCCCCTTGGGCACTCCTCCAGCCCTCCCTGTGACAAAGACCTTGCACTCTGTGCTTGTGTGTCTCTGTCATCCCTGTAATGGTCTGGTGTCCCATCCAGGTTTTAAAACATACCCTGGGCCCATTGCTTGCTCCATCTTCTTGCTGAATTGGTTAGTAAATGCATAGTGCTACTGCAGTTATGGGTACTAATAATCTGGTATAGTTCATATATAAAATGAATACTATTCTAAAGAGTATGTTAGAAAGCAATCCCCTAGCACTAGACATTCCTAAAATTAGTCTTTTTTGCTGACTTTATCTAAGCTTGTCACTTTGGATTATATTAAACTGGAGAGAAAATTAATATTGTGATTGCTGTTACTGCACAAACAAATTTCTGGATTGTTATCAGATAAACATAGCAACTCTTCCTGCTGATCTTTACTCATCAAATGTAAAATATTTATAGCCAAATTGCTCTACTGCATCATAAGAGAAGTAGTCATCTATGCATAAGCAGTTTTAATCTATTTATGTATTTATTTTGTGAGCTCATCAAAGCAATTTGATTTTGTCATTTAGTTTCAATTAAAGTAAACAATCCCTGACACACTCAATTAGATGTAACCCTCACACTAAATGGTGTCATTGTGTTCTCTCACATTTTTCTCCAGTGAACTATCCTTGATTGCTCTTTATTCTGATAATTATCATTATCAAAGCTACTCAACAGTGGGGTTTTCTTCAGGATTGGCCAAAGGGCCATACTAATAGAAAAACTAGGAAATTAATGTATAATGGATTAGAGGAAAAGAGGAACTCCTTGAGATGATCACATATACTAACATTACAAAAAAAATCAAATTTCTTTATTCTGTCACCTCAAATACATGGGATCCTTAATTTATTTTTTTCTTTTGGATGCTACCTTTCCCAATAACTGAGAGAAAACAAAATGACAGATTGTGGTTTAAATGAGAAATGTATATGTCCCAGATGAATTGTGGTAAAATGTAGTTTGCCCACCAATCATGCAGCTCAAACTACACCTGATGGAGGCTCCACTGCTGAAATGATGCCATGCCTGTTTTTTTCTCTCTACTGTTCAGTGTGGAATGAATCTCTTCTTTTTCTTTTGCTATCTGCATGCTGACTCATTTTAACTTTGAATTGACCCAACCAATTTTAAATATCGCTTTATTTTAATAAGAAAGTGTAGCTATACTATACAAATGAGTTTAGGTAAGGACTACGGGTATAAAACAAATCTTAGTCACAATAATAAAGCACATTAAGCTGTGATACAGGGCATGTGTGATTATATCAGTTGTTCCTATGACTTATTGTAGATACTTCATCTGCTAACACAATTAGCGAAGTAGCCCTGGGGTACAGTTGAGATTAGTTGTCCAGGATTGTCTTGATTTTCTGGCAAACAGCACTTCTTGTCCAAAAGATACATTTCTCCTCTAATCAATCCTCTCTCTCCTTTTAGGCACTGTGGAGCTTCCAACAGATCCAAAGATGGCTAACTCTGCTCGTGGCCATGTCAGAGGCACTGGTCTACATGTCTCCTTCTCCCCTGTGTGGATGCAGGAATCACTGGAAGACAGGTAAAAATCCAGAACAAAATGCTGTCTTGAACTGAGTGAATATGTAACAGATACAGTAAATATACTTTCCCCTATGTACCCTCTAAGACACTCTAAAAGTTTATCGGAAGTGTTTGCAGAACAAATCTAAAAACATTTGACCTGTACAGACAGAAAAGGCAATATATAATCCTATAGTATAATTTAGTACAGACCTGTGAAAGAATACACTGTACAAAAAATTTAAGTTAATGGTGGTTCCTTCTGCATCCTTCTGTAATCTTACTTTGTTTATAGGCAATAGCATGCATGAAGTACTGTACACTTACTGTACAGGAACTATGTACATATTTAATTCTAAATTCTTAAACTGATGGATAAATGAAAGAAACTGTACAGGTGTGATGCGGAGGTTCATCACTTACACTAGGGTTAATTATTTTCCCATTTTGCCACAGAACCCATAACAGGACTTTATAAAGCAATCTATCAGTTCAGATAGTAATCTATAAGCCTGGGTGTGCAGCAGATAAAGCAAACACTGCAAAGTTAATATGCTCTGTTGACAAAACAGATCTATCTCTGAATATAAGGCACTCTAATGTCTTGGGAGAGATTGCAAGAGGGTAAATTCACAGCTGATATAGGGGTGGAAGGTTTCCAAGCTCGATTTTAGATTTTCTCCTTCATTACAACCATGGTAGAAATCTTTTTAGATGAAGTTTCTCAAAAATAAAGATGATATAACCTACCAGTTGTTCAGTTATTTACTTCTGTGCTCCAAAACACTCACAGTAGAGGCTTTCACTTCTAAAAAAAGAGTACCCAGATCAAAATACTGTTGCTGACAAAGATAAGCATAGAATTGAGAGAGATAATGACAGATTTCATTAGAATTCTACAAAGGAGGATACTTTTGAAGTTTCTTGTCACAAAGGCATAAGTTTCTTTACAGTTTCTGCAAAAATAGGAATATATGATTCAGGTGGAGATATGCACATGGCACATCTAGATAGATGAGTTCACTGGCTCTATCCCGGATGGAGATAATTAAAATGTCAGTGGTCCACTCTACACTTCTGATCTCTCTGGAATAAATTAAATTTAAAATCGGAGCAGAAAAGCCTATCATAACTTTGAAAAGGGAAGGTGTTTTGAGGCTTCAAAAATGAAAAAGATGATGACCATGATTTATAAACAGGACAGTCCATTATAAACTAAGAAGGACGCTAATTTGACTGTGGCATTCAAAACTTGTATTGCATTTCTTGCCCAAGTATCCGCTGAAAAGCAAACAAAGCCAGTGACGTACCGTACCCACAGTCGGTGATATCCGAACACCGTCAGAGCTCATCTAAGCAACTGCTTCCACAACAGCTTCATTTTTTTTGTCTTGTCCACAGCTTTTACATGACACTTTATGTTTTACAAAGCTTACATCTAAACTTGAACAAGCAAGTGTCTTTGTAACAGGAATCGTCTTACTCATTTACCCTCCACTCCATGTTCCAGTCCATTGCTCAGGCTGCAGGGGCTGTGATGGAAAGAGATTACAGGGAATTGAATACTGGACTGTGGGATGAAACTACAGCTGGGTTGCAATTTACATTTCAATGTACAGCCCAGCAGCAGCTCCCTTCGTCTCTCTGGCCAAAAGCCCTTCAGATGTTAAGGGCACTCCCTGGGAGTTTGGCAGCATGCATGGGTCTAGTCCTGAACCCAGGACACTGCCGTCTGTCTTAATTCTGATGAAGGGCACTTAGTGCCATTTAAGTGTGCTTTCTTTTGTTTTACTTCTGCCATACCTAATGCTTAATGTTACACGATGGAAGTGATTTGCACTTGTGGAGCTGTACTGCAGATTTAAATAGGAATTTTACATCCCTAATAACTACAGGGTAAGTTCAGGGGTAAGTTAGACTAGTTACAGTAAATCAATTGTTTGGATTCAGTTATCAAGAGCTACTGTAAATTGCAATGATAAATAGCAGTAGGTCCTGTGGCTTCTCCTGAATCAAGAGTGAACATCATTAGTCCAATGCAGAGGACCAGAGTAACAGTCCTTAAGGGCCAGGGGCTTTGTGTTTTACATTGAGCTTTTATTGGTTAAATTAAACTATCTACTCATGTCACCTAGTTGATTTTACCCTTTATCTAAATTCACAAGAACTCATAATGAGAGATTTGTAGAAAACAAGTTGTAAGGCATAAATAAAACCCTAATAAATATGACAATTGAGAGCAAGTTAATGGGTCTAGTTTGTTTTGCTACCAGTAGCTAATTTGATGGTCATATCAATTAACTGTTTTCTTGAAAGAATCTAGGGCGTCAGCTTTGTCGACACATCCTAGTAGCTTGTACCCACAACTTTGTATGTAAAAAAAGTGTTCTGCTGTGTCAAAGAGCTAATCCTCCTATTTGTTAATCATTTGTGAACCTACTGTAACTGGTTTATAAACTGTACTAGAATTTTATTTATTTATATAAATTAGATGAAGCAGTGGCCCTGATACATACACCTGTATTTTTAATAGTAATTTTAAATTAACATTATACAATACTACTATACTACTACTACTAATAGTATCAGTGCACTGCATGGTGGCACAGTAGTTGGCAAGGCTGCCTCACAGTGCTGGGGCCCTGGGTTCAGTTCTGAAGCTGCGGAGCTATCTCAGCATCTGTGTGGAATTTCTACATTCTCCCTGTGTTCACTTGGGTTTCCTCTTTCCTGATGGCTTGATTTTCTCCCACAGTCCAAAGACTCTCTGGTATGTTATACAGTATATGCTTACTGCATACTTCCTTACCTTGTCTTAATGAGGACATAGAAGACGTTGAATGCCTAAGCTGGTCGCTGAAAAGCGAGCTTGCTCTCTGCATTCGGCGTAGTCAATCGACAAGGGCGTAGTTAATCGAAAAAGGGGATATAAAAGAGTGTTAGTTGTTATATTACAGATATATTATGAAATGTTTGTAATTCAGTAGTAGCAGTAGCGGCTTGCACGGTCTTTCTCACTCTGACGTCACTTCCTCCATATATTAATAGTTTGTAAATATTATTGAAGTTTAGCTAGCTAGTTTTACCAGTAAAAGAATTAAGATTAATCCGTCCAGTAGTTTTCTAGTTCTAAACTACATATGGCCGCTTTTTATTAAATGATTTTCCAATTTTCTGAATCTGTGGGCATAGCTCCTGTCCTTAGTGACATCTGAAAAAACCTAGTTAAAGGTCTATGAATAACACTCCTCAATTCCTTAAGTAGGACTGGGAAAATGCCAGCACATACCAGCGATTTATTAGTTTTAAATCATTCTAGTCTCCATAGGACCTCTGTGTCAGTTATGCTGAAATTACTTAAAACTGGTGGAGCTCTGTTTGTAACCTGGGGCATGTTATTGACATATTCCTTTGTACAGACCTGCATTAAATATTCATGTAGCACTTCCTGTTTCTTTTTCATCTTTCTTGTTTTAATCCCATATTATCTCAGACTATTTTCATGACCTTTTAGTTTGTTTATACAATTATAGCATTGCAAAAATGTTTGCATTATTTTTAGTGTTTGATGTAGTGTTCTTTTCTGTCTTTCTCTCTGTAATTCTAATATATTTTCTCGATGGTGCTTGCAGCTCTCCATACTACTTCATTTTTATCTTTGGATCTTGTGATCTTTTCATGCAATCTGTGAGGTGCTCTCTTCCTTCAGATTTGTCTTTTTTACTAGACAGGATGTATGATAAATTAGAGTTTTAACTCTTTAACATTTTGGGTCCTATATTCAAAGACCCAGGCTCTTAAATTCACATTGGATCTTGTCAAGATTGAAACACCTAAGTGTTTTTGAAGTATAACCATCTTGCTTTGATTCTTGAGTAAGGTTGACTGTGTTCATCTGTTCCCCTAGGTTTCTTATTCTTTCTACTTTCCAAAATCATAAACCAGCCTATAGAGATTGAATGTACACATCAAATTTTTCACATCACATCACACATCACAATTCTTCAGTGCTTTTACAACATCTACTCATTTTATTCTGTGTAGATCATTTAAAAAAAATAAGATAGATCACTTTATTAGCCATCAAAGGAACAAGTAATAGGTTTATTCCATGCTGAAAAAAAGAAGAAAGAGAACACAACGTTTCGTGACACCTGAAGAAGGCTCCACGGCCGAAATGTTGTTTTCTCTTTCTTCTTTTTTTCAGCATGGAATAAACCTATTACTTGTTCCTTTGCAGCCTACGCATGCTGACACAGCTACCCACCTTTATTAGCCATCTACAATTTCTTGTATTAAGAATGTATTTTTGCGTACCCCAGCTTGCTCTCCCTGAGAGGCACAGGCACACAGCCAGGGAGAGTGAAGCTTGGGATCAGAGCACAGGGTCAACCATTTATACGGTGCAGCTGGGGTTAAGGGCTCAGGGACCCAACGGAGTAGAATTCCTCTGCCAGCTGCAGGATGCGAACCGGCAACCTTCCAGCCACAGGTGCAGATCCTTAGCCACAGAGCCACCTAGTCTCCCCTGGGTGAATAAGAATAAGGTCCCAAGTAGATGACTTTTGAAACTTGTTTAAAATGTTTTATACATATAAATATATATAAAATGTAATATATATATATACACCTGAAGAAGGCTCCACGGCCAAAACATT